TGGTCTGCCTTCATTCCTTGTGCAAAGTCTGCCTTCATTCCTTGTGCAAAGGAGTGTCTCACCATAAGCCTGTCTCTTCCCCACCAGGCCTATCCTTGTACCAACGATAAGGAATGTGAAGTTGGCCGCTACTGTCACAGTCCCCATCAGGCCACGTCCGCGTGCATGATGTGCCGGAGAAAGAAGAAGCGCTGCCACCGCGACGGCATGTGCTGCCCCGGGAACCGCTGCAACAACGGTATGGCCGCCAGCTCTGGGGCTTTTTCTACAGAAAATCAGCCTTTTCAGATCATCTGTTTCTATGAGTGTTCCCAGAAACAATAGTTTTTCCTGGGTGATGGCACTTCTTTTTCTAAACCAAGAAAACWTAAACCTCTACTTCATTCCACTCTACCTAATTTTCTTTAACAGTATTTCTATGTTTAGGGCTCAGGTACTACCGGTCTTTTTTTATATTTTGTGGTGAGGAAACACAAAAATACTGCTGCCTCTGCCAAAAATCRCAGCTCCACTTTCAGTGTGGCTTGGTTCACTGGAAGACTACACAGTAGTCATATTTTAAGGAAGCAAAAGAGACTTGTGAAGCAAATCTGTGATGAAGTTAAGTGCCTGGAGCCAGAGGAGAACCTGTGATTAGAGCTGAGCACCACTGAGGCAAAACCCCAGCACTTTTGTGGTCCTGACCCTGGTCAATGCATGGCTCTTGGTTGCTTTTCCCCTTACTGAAATCTTTGAGTGGCTGTCTTTTCCTTGCAGGTATTTGCATACCAGTGACTGAAAGCATCCTTACTCCTCACATCCCTGCTYTAGAAGGGCCACGCAACAAGAAGAATGGTCATTATGCAAGCAAGGATTTGGGATGGCACAACCTAGGGAGGCCCCGATCCAAGCTATCACATATAAAAGGTAAGATCACGTTTGGACTGGACTGCTCTATTCCTTCATGTCATGAATCATGTTGTTGTTAAGATACAGCCGTGCAAACCAGAAATAGGCAGTAAGTTCACAGGGAGTGAATGTCTGTTGTGAGAATTCACAGCATGACTCAGAAAGTGATGTAATGTCAATGAACAGTTCCTGTGATTGAAACAGCATCTGCTTTCTTCTCTGTATCAGATGTGGACTGACAATCATTCTATCAGTTGTGCAATAYTGCACACATCCTGCCCTTGTCATGTTATTGAACACTTGTAAATCTGCTTACAATCTTGTAGCTGCATTTCTCCTTACTAAGTCTTATGGCAGATCTCATGAATTATCCCCCTTGAACCTTCCTAATTAATATCTCCTCTTGTGTTTACATCCTTCAAATTGCCACACGTGTAAATATCACCTCTCCATTTACTGAGTTTCTTTTGTGTGTGCCTGTGCTGAATATGTACTTTCACATTTTTCCATGAGATAAAGAGTTTGGTTGCTCTTTTCAGGACACGAAGGCGATCCCTGCCTACGGTCATCAGACTGTATTGAGGGACACTGCTGTGCTCGCCATTTCTGGACCAAAATTTGCAAGCCCGTGTTGCATCAGGGGGAGGTGTGCACCAAACAACGCAAGAAAGGGTCCCATGGACTGGAGATTTTCCAACGATGTGACTGTGCCAAGGGTTTGTCTTGTAAAGTATGGAAAGATGCGACCTCCTCTTCTAAATCAAGACTTCATGTGTGCCAGAAAATCTGAATGAGGATCGGGAAGATAGAATCAAGTGACTGTGGCTTTATGTGTTTAATGCATTATGGCATGGTGGAAGAAGGGGACTGCAAAGGAAAATGGAATGGCTAAACTAACTGTTAGAGTAGGAGTAGAAGTCACACCAAATGCATTTCTTTGAGCTGGTGGTAAACACAAGCGTGGCTGGAGTTCACCTACTGCCCAGTTCTCCTGTAAATAATTCTGCAGCCTGTGGGAAATGCTGGTATGCAAACAAGTAGAGTGGAATGAATGTCACTTACCTTGCTGTATTGTCCCATGGTGTTTCAGGGGTTCAGTGTTAGGGCTATCGTGGGTCTCCAGCATGGTAAGAATTTTCTACAGAAATTGTATACATTGTACTCCTATAAGAAGCACTGCATGTCAAGAAGACTCATCTGTCAGCACGTTATTGGCCACCTTGCAAGTATTAGAAATGGAAATAAAGTTACTGTGAATGTCCACAAGCCCTTGCTGTTCAGGGCTGATATTTCAGCAAAGGAAGCACTCCTGCAGGACAAGAGTGCTGTGTTTTGCAGGCCCTGAAGAAGGAGGTGAAAACTGGCCATCTCAAAATTTCAAGAGAGCAGCAGTTTCTCTAAGAGGAGGCATTTAACCAGGGTTTTGCTTTCTATACATGGGTAAATTGAAATGCTTTATGTAGTTCAATGTCATAGTATGGCACTTAATCACTTGTATTTGCCTCAGTTTACTGCTAATACACATTGGGTTGAACAGATGAAGCAAATATGTGTGCATGCTGAATCCAGAATTATATACAGGCAGTTCCTTGTTAGTCCTAAATATGCTTCCCTTGCCTAAGCATTCTTGTATTATAGACATTTCCAAAAGAAACTGCAGAGGGTTAAGTGCTTAACATGAAGAGCTATGAAGTTGTTTCTCTGTTGCTGTTACAACAGAGGATATAGACATTTGTGGAGGTGTTTCAAGCATACTGCTGCAAACTCAGATTTTTATATTTTATAGCTCTCTGCAGCAGAATAATAGMTTTGTTCTTGAGACAGCAAAGAAAAAGGAGCTGAGTCTTGTGAACACCTCCTSTCCTGCAGAAGAGGATGTAAGAAGATGTTATGACCACAAATGACTTGTTAAACATCATCTGATGTCACAGCATACCACCCTCCAGCATCTATTCAGCCTGAAATTGATGTCYTCTCATTCTGGAGTTTCTGCCAGGAATGATGGAAATACAAAGACTGTGGAAACAGCTGCCAACCCTACATCGTTTGTGTACTGGTTAAAAAAGGGACAGCCTCTGTCCAGGTCTTTTCAAACTTTGAAAATTTTACTTTTTTGCAAATATTCCTTTGTATAAACTTTGGTAAAGAGACTGATAYTACTTTAGAGAAGTCTGATTCCGTAATTGACTTACAGCTAATTTTAATTACCCATTTATAATTAACCATTTTCATGTTCTGTAATACAAGGGACTTTTCTGTATTCAGTTCTGAACAACATGGRTAGACCAGGATGTAGTTTAACTTTGAACCACATCACCATTACCTGATGCCTTTTCCCACCAGTGAGATGCTTTAAAGCTTTAGCTTAGCTACATCCCTTKTCTCAGCCTTCCTAATTAGAGTACAGACCTCAGCTGCATTGCCCTTACCTTTTGTAAGAGTTCTAAAGAAGAGTTTTTCACACACCTCTTTCCCTAATCTAGAGGGACTGCTCAGAGACAGGGRTTTCTGTTTTATCATAGTCTCAGTCTCACAAGTCTGCTTACTCCAGAGTTTTCCAATGTCACTGCAAGAGAAATATGRCTCAGAAATTTCAAGATACAAAAACAGTCCAGGAACTAATTTTTCAAGCTTTATTTACACTGACACAGCACATACTCAGCAGAAGAACTCAAGTGCTCTTATTGTCACCACTTWTAAAWGAGAATTATACCCAGTACAAGCAGRGGGKTTCAGAAATGGGCTCTCATCATTTTTTAGCTCTTCTTATTATTKGTCTAYCCACCATTTTGCTCTTACAAAACACAGTTATTTGGGATAATTTATTTACACAAAATGTTTAATGAGATGTATTTTCTTATAGAGATATTTCTTACACAAAGCTTTGTAGCAAAATATATTTGCAGCCTGTTGACTTTTATGTAGAAAAATGTATAATAAGATTAAATATATTATATTTCCTATCACATTCCTCCCCAAGTATTTTACCCATGTTCTTCTCYTTACCTGCTTTTTAAGAATAGTTCTTTCCAGAAAGACATGCAAATCAATTGGGAAAAAAAAATCGTATATCTTAGCTGTGCAAGTAAAAACATCTAATTCTACTCGTATCTCTGTGTGGGCTGAGTTTTAGTAACACATGTGAAGGTCATCTTAAAATCCCCATAATAGAAATACATAATTTCTACAAAACCAGTTTAAGTGACAACTGCCTGCGTGCTTCTCTTGGGTTGGTTTACACTTAGACACTCAAGAATACATTTTGAAAATAATGATTTTCTGGTTGTGTAATGTAAAATATGCCAGGTAAAATATGAAAGGTGTCCAGACACATTTCCTGGGTAGTGATACATTCCAGAGGGTCTCATGATGCATAAAGGTGGTATGCAAATTACACAGCAGTTTATTCGAGGCTACARCATGCAAATGCACCCCTGCAAAATTTGTAACTAGCAATTTTGGAATGGCAAGCTACAGCATTCAGCTCTAATAACATGAAACAATCCATGGACACAACTGTTAATAAAACCAGTGAGTTTTGATCCCAGAAAAACTCCTGCAGAGCGCAATAAATATTGCAAAATAATGGCCRTGGTTATTGAGCAATGGTCTTGATAACCCTGTGACTTGTTTCTGGTAACCCTTTGCTCCAACAGATTTGGAGGATGAAATGGTCTCCAAGTCACATGATTGTATAAAATTAAAAGGTTTAGCTGCTGTTATTTGCAATATTTGCTGGGTAGGCCTTTGAAAATTCCAACACTTTTAACACCAACATAATAAAGTTGTGAGCATTTTCAGAATCCAATGACTTCAGCAGAGACTGCCAAAGCCKTCAGAGATTTAATCTGGGAACAAAAACAATAGGCACAGGCAGTCCCTTACACACCACAAATACTGAGCCACATAGCTGAAGCGAGTAACACGCAAGCAGTTTCGTAAGGCTGAACTTTGGTTGTTTTGAAGGCAGTCAGTCAATGCTTTGTGGAAATATACATCAGTTTGAGAATAAAAGAACAGCTGAATTTGGGGATAAATGCTCTCACAGAGTGTCACTCATCACAGGAATTAAGAATTACTTGGTTCAGTAATGTTTCAGAAATCTACTGAAACATTACAGAAACAAGTCATGAAACAAGTACAGAAGATGGGCTTGCTGAACAATTCAAGTAATTTTCCTATTAACTTAGAATAGCCTGAGCAATGCAATGTCTCTTTGGAAATGGTTATTAACGTTCCTAAAAAGAATGGATTTCTACTCGATAACAGCGTATATTTGATCTACAGTATAAAGGTGGGTGTGTATCTATTGCTGTACTATTTGCTTTGTCTCATGTTGTTTGCAACCTATAGTATTTATGATTTTAAACATGTTTTTAATGAAAATAATTAAAATAGATTTATCTGATTACTTCTTTAACAGCACTTTCAACAGCACATATCCAGCATGTGACACCTAAGCCAGAATTCACCAGAGTTTAAACCATCTTCTGCATATTCTGACTTTCCAGCTCATTAYCTCAGCAGCAGCGAAAAAGCCCTCATCAAACACCATAAAATATCTTAGGCAGAGGTTAAGAAGAGACATTCCTAAACTATTCCTCATCACCAGCCCTTGCTGCTTTCACTTCAGAGCTCTGCATCATCATCCCCACTAGCAAAAGTAAATGTTATCAAAGAGAATTCATAATTTTAATCCCTTCAGTATCTTTCTAGGAAAGCCATTTAAGGAAGAGATCCTGCAGATCAAAACAGCAACTCATAACAGAGGCTGTAAGCTCAGGCTTTTAGGAGTTTTGAGATTTATTCTCTAAATTTCAAAAACGTATGAGAACTATGTCATMTCAAGACCACGTTTACAAAAAATAAAGAGATCTTGTTTGAATTGTCAGTCGCACGTTCTGAAAATRACTTCCCACAGTGGGGGAGAGAAAATGAACTCTTCCTCCTCCATCAAGCAACCTTAGCTGCAGTCCTGACAAAGGGAAAGCAGTTGTTTTGGATTTCTTTTGCTCTAGGCACAGTGTACACAAAGACATCATTACTTTTGTTTTTCAATCACACCAATAATAAAGTTATGGTTTCTTACCTTGCTTACCRGACTGGGGTACCCTACCTCTCTTTTGCTGCAGGAGTTAGAAGAAGTTAGAGAACAGAGTTAGCCTTAGGGTCTGTGCTCCCCCATTTCAATCCTARTGTTTCACTGAGATGAGCAGAGACTTCCAGCTCAAGTGCCTTATCAGCTAATGCAGTTCTACACATGCTCACTCCTACCAAAGATTGCTCACAGTACTGCACAGACCCTGTATCTATTCTTACCATTTGTTTAGGTTCAACTTTACGTGACTTCTTAGTTACTGAAAAGCCCCAAATATCTGCTGCAGCCCCTTCTTACTGCTCTGCCAGCTTTACACAACCCTGCTTGTGACAGCAATGCAGCAGGTAAGGGAAAAGCACAAAAAAGGTGTGGGAAAGGGTGGCAGGAGGTGGCAAGGGTGGGCACCAGCCCAAAGCTTGAAATGGTAGGTACAGGAGGGAAGCTACCTCAAAATCTGACCATAAATAGTATCCCACACAATGATCATGAGTAGGGGACGGGCAAACAAAATCTGTTCCTGAGCCACAGCCCCGCAGTACTGGCCCCAAAACAGGAAGCCTATTGAAGTTGCTCTGGTCCCTCAAAAGCTGAAATATTTGAGCCTATTTCCTCTGGATGTAGTATGCCTCTCACCTTGGTCCTCTGTGTATCTAAATCCCAGTAATTCCAGAGGCTTTGGATTCAGCCATGTTGTTTTGTCAGCACTGCTAGAGCTCACAGCCTGCCTGTGCCTAGGGATCCCACTGAAAATCTGTGCAGAAGGAAGGAAAGAAGGGGCAAAAGCAGGAGATGGCTGCTCTTTAGAGAACTCCAGCTACTCCCAGAGCTGTTATTTTGACCACCACTGATGGGACTGACCCTGACGGATATACAGCATTGGATAGAACTCGTAGCAAATTTGTTTATTCTGGCAGCTCCCTGGTTTTTTTTTGGAATTGCTTATTGTTATAGCATGAGTGTCAATTACTTATTTACAAATGTCTGGTACCAATAAACTCTTTGCTTTTTACAGTACCRTCTTGCAGCTAGATTTAGAAGTGGTTTGCTGCCTGCCAACTTCCTGAAGGAGAGGAAATAATCATTTAAAGGAAACAAAGATTTTAATAAGCACAGGGGTCGGTTTTGTTTAACTTTTTTTCTTTCCTTTTTAGGAAAAAAAAATATTTAGAAAAGGAGAAGAAAACATTATTAACACACAGAGATTTCTTGACACAAATTGTGGTTTTTGGCTCATACTGTAATTCTCCACTGCTGTTATCAAAGTTGACCAAAGAGTTGTTAACAAATCAGAAATGTATACCAGTGCGGTTGCTAGAATGTTTGCTTCCATTTTCTATTCCTCATAAGCTATTTATTTCTGAGAGTACCTTATTCAACAATATTCACTCAAAATTTGCAAACTTCTTTTTAAAATCAAGTATTAAACATTCAATAATTCAGTACACTTTTAAGTGTAGGGCTCACAAGTATTATTTCTTTCCTTAGTGACAGTAATTTTTAATGGAGCCATCAAAGCCTATAGATACGTTGAAAGTAATGAACAACACAATGAATTCTGGARGAAATTTGTCAGGAATTTTGGAATGCAGCACACTAATTAATCCAATGACCCCCCAAAGCTTTAGAAAAATCCACCTCAAAATTATTYGGGCAATGTCTTTCTCTCAATATCTGAGCAGTTATGGATATTGCAACAATGCTTAAAAGAAAGTCCTAATGTATGTGTTCTCAAAGCACAGTTAACTCTTCTGTTTCAAAAAAAAACATTTAACTCTTCTGTAAATCTCAGAACAGGGTGGTAACTGCCCTTCCCAATGCAGCACAGTGCTAACTGGTAATATTGTAAGTTTGGAGACCTATTGGATTAAGTTAAAAAAAGTTTTTAATTATTTGAAAGCTAGTGCTCTTTATCGTGGAATTTCCTTCCATCCTCTCCTCTGTGGAGATCAATGGTTACGGAAGGAACAATTTGCAAATCGTGGATGGTCTCCACTGGAAATTCATCAGGATGGCTGTAAATAAATGGGAAGCAAGAGAACTTCCCTCGGCTACCAGAGCTTCCAGTGAGACCTCAAAGTGTATCAAAGCCTAAGAATTCATCACAATAGTTTCCATTTCTCTGCATCTCTGCCTTTTCAGTTTTGGCAGAATCAGACATATCTCCAGCCTGACAACAACTAGAATCTTATTTGTGCCATTGCAGAACCTGTTTCCATGAGATTTGCAGCTCAAAACATAAATCCAAAATGTTCAGAAGCTTTGAAGCAAAATAMAGAATTCTTTATATTTATTCAAGTACCAGCTCTGAAACATGTTGAGATTTCAACATTAAAAGGTCCTGTAGAAATGTATCCTCATGTGATTGCAATGGAATACCATATTGCACAGTGCTCAAAGTACATATTCAAAAAGTAGAAAAAAATCAAATGAAGAAATTTTCTCCCCAAAATTTGATGCTGAAAAATTTTCTCCCCAAAATTTGATGCTGAAGACTAAAAGTCACCCAGGACAGAGTGCAATCATTCAGCACTCAACTTGTATCATACAGGGACTATACTAATGATTCAAATTAAAACCAGAGAAGTGTGTCAGTAGAACTCACCTGAATGCTAGAGTGACACCAAGACTGTAATATTGTCACCACAGAAGACATTGCTCTGCTTTACACATTTCAGTATTCACAGTGACAGAATTTCACCCTGGCTGCATTGTGAAAATTAATTTTTGGAAATATTTGGTTGGAAACAGGCAATTCCCATCACAGTGCCATAATCCTGTCCGTACGATTTGTGTGTTCAGTCACTACCATCACTAGTGACAGTCTCTGATTAAGCAAACAGCAAGACACTCATATGAAGAAATGCTGTTTGGCATGCATTCATTTTAACAAAAGATGGAATTACTTAAGTTGCATCTTACCTATAATAAGGGTCAACTTCSCTGGTGTTGCCTTTTCGATCAGAGCAAAGATGTTCATTTGTACATGAGCAAACACAGCTCCTCAGCTGTGTTATCAGAGTAATTTTACATGTCCTAGAAACAACACAGGAGATAAGTTTTCATCCATGAGTTTGAATCTAGTTTTATTTTTGATTATTAATTCACATATCTGCATTTTTTGAAAAAAAAGTTATAATTTCCAGACTTGTAATAAGTCACAGGAATGGTTTCCAGGTCTTAGGAGGAAAATATTGGCAATGAGAAATTAGTAGTGACTTTCCTTCCTAGTAGTGACTTCTGGTAGTTTTGGTTAACCCTGGGAACTTTACGTAAAAAGTTTACTAGAAAACTTTTGTGTTTTGTTTTAATAATAATAACAATAACAATTATAATGATAATAGCAATAGTAATAATGATAATTATGAAAATAATAATAATATCAACTAATCACTATATTTTCGATCAGAGTTTTGACTCTCATTAACACTTTGTTTCTAGAAGAGACTCCCTGTAGACAACCAGGACACCGACAAGMATCTTTGGCAGCAGCTGAACCACCMRCATGGCYCTGTTGTTTTGTTTTACTAATTACCCCTCAATCTGCAGCAACGTCTCTGAAGTCTAAATCCTTTGGTGCTGGGACTGACTTTTACTTCTGTATTTGTACAGCACTTAGCGCAAGAGCATCCAAATTCACAGCTAAAAGTCTATTTTCTTTCCTATTTTTTATTRCTGTATGTGATTGGACACACAAATTTCAGATGGAATTATTCTGTCAACAATTCCTAAAACCACATGAATACACAGCATTGCTCTGCCTCACACTACAACAGTTTTCAAATTGTGGTCAATGAAACCCCCATGTTCAGTAAACTAGGGGTATGCCTGTTAGTAAGATGGAAAAGAATTAGGAGTTTTCAAATCAAAAGAGGCTAGAAAAGTACTACCAAAAAAAAAAAAGAAAGAACAACCTCAAACTCTGCATGAGGGTGATCCTGCTCCAGGCTCTGCTCCACCTTTTCAGTGAGAATGTGAATCAGGCTCTGGGTATCCTGGAAGACATGCTGTAAACACAAGCAAGCTGGCTGCAGTTCCTCAGTGTCTTTTCCCAGGGACGYAGAACTTTCGGTTCTGTGTCTGAAAATTTCCATCCACAACAAAAATTCTTTAAAGTACCTTGGCATCACACTTGATATCATTCTAACTGCAGAAACTCTTACTATCTGCTGTTCCCATCCCATGAAAACCATGACTTCACTATACTGGGATTACAAACTGCTCCTAAAGCAATGTGGTAATTTAAATTCCATTTCCCATATGGACAAGGCAAACAAGCCGTAGATGGACCTTCCAGCTATTCTTTCTTTTTAATAACTGATGCATGATGTTCGTATGCTAAACTCATTCGTCAATCTTATTTTTTTATCTGTTGCCTGGAAAATACAGCAACTTAACCCTGGATGGATGGAAGGGAGATTTCAGGGCTGGGAATTAAGAACAGCCTGCTAGGAGAAGTGAGGACAGGTGCCGGCTTTGGCCAGCTAAGCAGGTGGAGGAGCTGATTGGGAGGAGGAAGGGTCTAGACAGAAGTGCTAATTAAGAGGGTGATAAGAACAGCACATTTTGTGGAGCCAGTTTCAAACCCCAGAACCCTTCACCTGAAGCACCCTGGTCCAGGTCCAGCCATRACCATCTTGTCCAACGATGTGCCCCTAAAAGGCTCTGCACACCCGGGGTCAGTGCTCTTGGACCTATTCCCAGAGAAGCAGAGTTCTCAGCTTCGGTCCAGCTGGCAGTCTTAGTTTTGCTGTAATGAGACCCAAGGTGGAAATGAGCTGGGGAGGTGCATTCCTTCTTTCCTCCTGGCAAGAGCCTCTCAGAGGAGCTGCTCACATACTGCTATAGCCATGTGAGCTGCTGAGCCATCCACTTGAGCCACCCTGGGCTGAGAAATGTGACTGTGACACAASCAAGTCACCACACAGCACATGAGGAGGGATCKCCTCAGGAAAGGCAGAGGACATGCACCTGTGGTTTTATTTAAAAAAAAAAAAAMAAAAAAAACCCCAAAAAACCCCCAAAAAAACCAAAAACCAAAACCTTACGAAACACATTTCTAAACACATTTCTATAGATTTTTTTTTTTTTAAAAATTCAACCTCTTTTAAATATTTTCAAACACTGACATCACGTTTCTAAAAAAGAAAGGATAATTCTATCTGTATTAGCTTTGTCCCTCAGAGCCCTTTTCGTTGTTTTCAAACACATCTGAGCAAGTAAAACCCAGGACAAATTTTTTAAAATCTGTAATTAGTGACACGAATTGGGAAAAAATATTTTGGAAATGGTTTTTATTGGTGAAAGACAGCCACTTCAACACAATATGTAAAAATSGTTTTGGAATATACTAGGCAATAACCAGGGCGAAGAAAGATATTTACACTACTTAGCTGTTCTAAAGTAAGGTGTGCTGTTAGCCAGAGTTTAAAAATACAGATCCGAAAATCTAATAACTGTGTTTTGAGCTTAATCAAAAAGGCTTAAGCTTTTAAATTAATTTAATCTTAAATAACAAATTTCAAGGACTAGATTTCAATTGTGTTTTTTCCTGAATGTGCRGTAAGTGGAACTAATCCTCTTGTCTTTGAATGAGATCACATTTAAAATGGTTGTAATGATTTAATTGAATTTACAATTCTAAGAAAACAAACAAATTTTCCAGCTTTTGTTTCTACAAGATAAGTGCTTGGCAGAGAAAAAACACTTWATTTAGGGATTGTATTTGTAAGTCCTAAAGCCCCAAAAAGGGGACATTTTTTATTTGTCTTTTGTCTAAGATATCTAATAATGTTGAATTGAGACTTTCAAAAACATTAACCTTTTAGTAATTGTCCTGTCTTTTAAGTTGAATTTTTCAATAATTTTCATTGAGCATTATTTTCTTATGACTGCTGTAATGGTTAGATTGCTGTTGCAACCCTTGCACCTGTCATATCACTAGCAGACATACCTTCAGAATTGCAACTTGAATTTAAATCCTATCAATAAACTGCTCATAACCTGGGTACAAAAAGAGTCCATTTACCTTTCTAACAACTTATAACTCTTGCATCCCATGCCACACTTCTTACTCAAGTGCCAGGTACACTCTGAATGCTTCAAAGCCTTTCAGACTCAGGTTCAGGAGCAGCTTCTCCAGGGCTCAGTCTGGAGGGAAGGACAAGGTRGGGGTCCTGGTGCCACAGCCCCTTCCCCACCCTGCAGCATG